CGGGGGAGCACCCAGTCCTTGGGCAAGTGCTAAGAGAGAGCTTACTCAGATTAGAGTCATCAGCTGCTAGCTGATCATTTTGCCAGTTCACTCTAGATATCACTACTACCCCCCACCCCTGAGCAACACAAGACCTAACAGATTACCACCAATACTGAGCCTTTCAACTCAGGCACTAAGTGGAAAATGAAAAGTGTTCAGCGAAACAGGAGTTGAATGAAATCTTCTAATATTTTTCTAGGACAAAAATAATGATAAAGTTATGACTTCAGTTTAAACATGAAAAAAAAAGCATGGACAATCTAGTATTAGATCTCTATAATTATGCTGTGTGGATAAAAAGAAGGACATAGATATTAGAAGCTAAAATCGAAGAATACATGAAGAATACATGTTGGAATTCAAGAAAGAAAAAAAAAAAACTTGTACAGGGAACCAGCAGTTAGCGTAATGGCTATGTCGCTGGATTCCCACGTAGTCGACCGCGGTTCGCGTACTGGACCCGGTGGCTTAAAACTCACGCCAGGCGCGTGTGCATGCGTGCCCAATATCCCGAGAGGAGAATGGAGGAGAAGGGATTGCGGCGTGACCATCCCCCCTGGGGGGTGATTTCTTGCTTTCTGTCTCTATGTCTCTCTCTGTCTGTCTGGCGAGCGCACGCGCCCTATAGCGAAAATCTCTCCAAAAAAAAAAACTTGTACAAAACTTCGTCACCTCTAAAGAGCAAGACACACTCAATGAAAACACAGGAGATGGCAGAATAATATGGGGAAAAAGTTATGGTGATTGTGGTATCTTTCCCTCCTCCTTTGGCTTTAAGTCTTCTTGGTAGTGTTTCTCTCTCTCGGCCCTATCTCTCCCTCTCTCTCTTCTTTCTAAGAATATGGTAAAGCCAGAAAACTCTATATTCAAATAGTTCTTTATTTTTAAAGCACCATTTTTATTGTTCCTTGACTAATTTTTCTATTTATTTTATTTTCTTATTTAGTTTTACAAATTATAGATCTCTAGTCTCTGTAGACTGTATTATGTATGTATTGTACTTTTGCTAAGAAATAAAAGAGAAACACATTTATTACGGATGTGAAACTACGGAAGCACTATGAAATATACTTGAGATGAAAAAGGAGCAAAATCAGTAACTTGGAAAATAGGCTTGAAAAGTGTTCACTATTCCATGGAGAAAAAATTTAAAAGTAATCCTTTCTTTTTTCAAAAAAAGGAAAGGACAATCTAAGTCCAGGTAAAAATATCATATATTTTGCAAAGAAGGGAAAACAATTTATTTTCATCTTCTCCATAAAACATAGACTCCAGAAGGCAATGCATGTGCTTAAAATGCTGAAGTATAAAGACTGTTCTCATAGAATCTCATAACCTATGAAGACATCACTTTTAAACTAAAATAATGTGAGTTGACAATATTTGTATACTCATAAACTCTTTCTAGAAAATATACTTAAATAAATGAAGCAGCTAACATGTTATTTAATTAAAAGTTCATTATTCTATGCAGACTTCCTCACTGCTTTCTAATGACATGCTCTTCCAGAATTTCCCTGTATTCCTGACCCACAAGACTATATCAAGTATTTGTTTTCATAAGCTGGTAGCTTTGGTATAATTTGTTACAGAAAAATAGATTAACTACTACAGTTGTATGTCTCCAATTCAGGGTGTGGTCCTTCTACTCTGCTTTCCTAAGAGTTCCTTAACCTCATCATATCCCTTTGTATTTTCACTGTATGTTTTCAATTGATTCAATAACTTGCATGATTTTGACCCCCCCCCCTTTTTTTTCCCAGAGAAATTTTTGCTATGGGGCATGTTTGCTCACCAAAGAGACAGAGAGAGAGAAAGTGAAAAATCACCCCCCGGGGGGATAACCATGCCACAATCCCTTCTCATCCATTCTCCTCTTGGGATTTTGGACAAACCTGGTGTGAATTTTAAGCAGCTGGATTTAGCATGTTAACCATGGATGGTTCATGTGAGACTCCAATGATGTAACCATTTCGCCATCTGCAGGTCCCAGTTTGTTTGTAAGCTTTTCTGTTTTTTGACTTTTGAATTGTGGATTGGGAGGCTACCATTGCATCAGTGCAATTTCTCAAGACAATAGCATTGCCTCAGTGATGGCCTTTCCACGTCTCATGAAGCCTTCTTCCTTACCCTGGATGTGAGGACACATAAATGGTCTTCTTGAAACTACAGAACTGGTTAGTTAGAAGGGTCTTGTCTTTTCACATAGAATAAAAAAAAAAATGAAAATGTTTTGGAAATAACCTGAAGATTCTTGTGAATTTCCAAACTTAATTTAGAGCTCCGCCCTAGACATTGGCAGAAATTGATATCAGTACTAGTCACAAAGTGATCTACAAGCACATTTCAAGATCTGTGGACCAACCCTGACCCCTCTTTTCAGACTAACCCATAATCTGTATTCCTTCTGCCTACTAGTAACAGTCACAGACTGAATTTTAACACAATAACTCTTTCATATATGTATATACAAAAACACACACACACACACACAAACATACTTAGAATCTGGGGCAGGTAAGGGCTTGGTTGTATTCATGTTGCCTACCACCAGTAACAACTGGAGCTACAACTCAGTGACCACATCTAAGTTTTGCCCTCAGTTGCAATCAATGTAGGAGGAAATCTCAGAAAACAGAGTTCAACTGTCATTCATGAGAAAACAGAGCATCAATTCAAGTGGTTGTTAAGAGCTATCTACGTGGCAGGCTCTGCATTAGGTGCTACGAACATCTTACAAATGAGTTAGACTCAATTCTTACAGGAAAATTTTGAAACAGAATGACAGAGTCACAATGGTTCATCACAGGGAGAAGATGAGTATGTGGAGGGTGGGGTCAGGCAGGTGGAGATACAGATGTTGACAACTGCGCTGCTGGGGCAGACAGTAAGTTATGTGTGACGCCCACACCATATCTTGTCTTGTAGGAAAGTTTTACTTCTTATATAAACCATTAAATGTTTGCATCCATTTTTCAATAACTTCTATAAAACCAACCATAAAGTTAGCAACTTTTATTGTCTTACAGTTTTGTAGGTGAGGATTCTGGGCACAGCTGTTTCTCTACTTGTTTCTCAAGACTAAGACCAACCTGTCCATAGGACGCTAAGCCTTTCTGAAGGTTCTAGGGATGAATCTGCTACCGGATGGTAGAATTCAGTTCCTTGTGGCAGTAGGACTGAGGTCCTTGTTGATTTGCTGGGTGACGGCTGAGGGTTGTTCCCAGTTTCTAAAGAATAACCACATTCCTCAGTTCATGCCCCTTTCCTCCATTTTTAAAAACAGCAATGATGGGTCAAGTGCTTCTCACATGTAAAATCTGTCTTCCTTTTCTTTTTCCTCTCCTGTCTCTACTTCTGCCACATCTTGGTAACATTTTTTAAACCTCCCTATTCTGTTTTTAGGACCCAAGTGATTACTTTAGGTCCATCCAGATAATTTGAGATAATCTTCCTGTACTAGTCAGGGTTCTCCTGAGAGAGCTAGCTATAGAAGGTAGATAAGCAGATAGACAGACGAGAAGGGAATTATTAGGTGAGTCAGCTCATAAATTTATGAAGGTTGAGAAGCCACATACTTGCTGCCTGCAAGCTAGAGATCCTGGGGGCGCTGGTAGTATGCCTCGGTTCGAGTCTCAAAGTCTTTTTATTTTTTAAACTTTATTTTAAACTTTATTTATTTATATTTTATATATTTATATATACTTTATTTATTTTAACTTGACCAGAGAGGGACAGCGTGAGAGAGAGAGTGATCAAGAGAAGGAAAGCGAGAAAGCAAGCCACCAGGTCTGGGACTTGAACCACAGTAGGCTATATGGGAGTCCAGCACCCTTAACCACCATGCCACCTGCTGGCCTCCTCAAGTCTGAAAGTCTTACCACCAGGAAAACCAACAGTATAATACCAGTCTGAGTCAAAAGCCTGAGAACCCAGAGGTGTGCTGCGTAAATCCCAGAGCCCAAGGTCCAAGAACTTGGAGTTCTGATATCCAAAGCAGGAGAAGAGTGTCCCAGCTCCAAGAAAGAGAAGGAGAAGAAAATATTTTGCCTTTCTTCTATTTTTGTTTTATAATCTGGCCCCCACAGATGGTTAGACAGTACCTACTCACATTGAAGATGGATTTTCCTCCTTCTGTCTACCAGCTCTCATGCTAACCTCTTCTTGAAATGCTCTCACAAACGTACCCATAAGTAACGCTTTACCAGACCTGTAGGTATTCTTTAATCTAATCAGGCCAACATGTACAATTAACCATTTCACCCCCCCCACATTTTAAGATTGGCTGATTAATAGCCTACTACATCTGCAAAATTCTATCCTAGCAGACCTAGGTTAGTGTTGGATTGAATATAGGGATCAGAAATCTCAGAAGTCTGGCTTCACGGTACCAGCAGATGGCATAACGGTTACATTGCTGGATTCCCACATAGCTGACCATGGTTCAAGTCCTGGACCTGGCAGATTAAAATTCATGCTGGGTGCATGTGCATGCATGCCCAAGATCAAGAGGAGAATGGAGGATTGTTACGTGACCATCCTCCCCCCCCCCCCCGGGGGCGGTGATTTCTCACTTTCTGTCTCTTTCTCTGTCTCTCCTGTGAGCACACATGCCCTATAGCAAATATTGCTCTTAAAAATGTAAATAAATAAAAGAAGACTGGCTTCAAAATCTTTCTGACCAAATGTACAACAGAGTGCCCACGCTGAAGAAATGCTGATTTCATGAAGGCTGAAAATCACAAATCCTCTCCTGGCTGGAAGCCTGCAACAGTAGGGTAAAACTATGGGAATTTGCTGATCACCACCATGTGAAGCCTGAGATTATTCTGCCATTTAAATATCTTCCATTTGTAGCCAGCACACAAATGTCAACTATGTGGTTAAAAAAAATCAATATATTCCTGGAGTGATGATAAGTTAGAAGGGTCATAAATCGCATACACGGCTTACGAGAAATGGATGGGAAGACTTGCCCAGTGTATTGACTGTTTTGTCTTTGAAATGTAGCCATCAATTATGATGGCCTCTTGTGCAGAAGAAGCCAGATTTATGACTACGACTGGAGAGGAGGGGTACAAGCTTTTATTGAGCTTGGACTTGGGGCCAGAAATGGGTGAGTCACTTTCACACTTATCATGTCTTTAGCTTTATGTGTGAGCAGAGTAGGTAGCTTTATACTTCCTGTATTTTCTAACTTGTCAGTGCCAGAGGAGATGGGGGAAGAGGTGTGGTGGGAGGCCAGCAAGCTCAGCTGGCCAAACAGCCTGGGGCTGCTCCTTGCAGGAGGCCGGACTGCTTCATGTGTATCTATATTACAAATGAAACGAACAAAGAGTCATTCTTTTGACCATCAGTTAAACATTCTTGATTTCTCAGAATTTATATTCCTTCTCATCTGGATAGTGTACACCAGGTCTTCGATATGGGACACGGATAGCTTGCTAGCATCTTACGCAATTGCTGCTTGGGAACACGTGCCATGGTTTTAAATCAGGACTAGCTGGTTTAGAATTCTTCCCTTTAGAGCCTTAAACACAATTTAAAAAATTTTGCCCACAAACGTATATACTACACATACATATACATATATACTACACACACACACACATATATGTAACTATAATTTTGAAAAGTGTTTCAGTTCCCTTGTTTGCTTTTATTGTAAAACAGAACTCTACCTCTGGCCACCTCTGTTTTAGAGAGAGAACTGGTGCCTTCTGCAGGGGAGAAGACAGCTGCCCTAGGGGAAGGACTGCATTGCTACAAACTGGTAGACACTACAGTATTCTGAGTCTCAGTTTTCTTATCAAAACTGCTTTTAAAAACGAGATAGATGGAATTACATTTTAAAAGGACTTAAGCTATTATTATTTAGGAAATTGACTAGTAAGTGAATAATTTCCTGATAATTTCTATACCAAATATAACATTTACCTTCTGACCCTTTACAGAAGTTTGCTAATACTTTACAAAGGGAAGATGAAGAACACATTCATTACTATCAGCGCTGTATTCAGACTTCAGAGATTTTTACAAGTGACAAAGTACAGAGTACAGTCAATAAAATATATAAATTTCCACCAGTAGATGAATGGATACTTTTGAAATATTTGTATGAGTAAATATTACACTGTAGTTAAAATGGATAAATTAGAACTACTTATCTCAGTGTAGATACATTTTTTGACCTAGGACTGAATGAGCCAAAATATTCCAGAAAATATGATACATATATGTCAATCTAAAAAGATAAAATCATACTAGGTAGAGTTTATTGACATATCTATATGCAGTAAATGACCACAACAAATTGGAAAAATAATTAGAAAATCCATAATAGAGAACTACGGAGAGAAGTCAGACTTAGTAATGATATAAATGGGCTACTAATGAATTACTATTTTATTTGTTCTTTTTGTTTTATTTCTTTTTAAAAATGAAGATACAAAGAAAAAGAGCAAGATATGATCACTACTGATTCTGAGTGGTGAGTACATATATGTTTGTTAAATGTTTTCTGTATCACAAAATAATTCACAATATAAGGAAAACAACGGATCTATTTATTTTCATTTTGAAAACTATTTGTTGAAATAAATCAATCAGATAAGTAGAATAATCATGAATATATGCCTAATGAATTTTCTGAGGCATATATTCATTCTGTAAGCAGCCCCTAGATCTAGAAATAGAGTATCACCTAACCTGCAGAGACCTTCAAGATAGTGATTACTCTGACTTCTACACAAATTAATTCTTCCTAAGTTCTATTGCCAAGTAAAAGGAATTGTATTGTCCATATTCTTTTATGTCTGGCTTCTCTAGCTCAGAGATTCAACTATGCTGTTGCAAATAGTTATAGATCACTTATTTTTATTACTGTATGATGTTCCATTGTGTAAACATATCATGATTTATGAGATAATGCATACATTTTCATTTATCTCTAAAATAAATATATCAACTGTTAAAAAAAGAGAGAGAGAAAGAGAGAGAGAAACAAAACGATGGAGCCAGCAGGTAGCAGAATGGTTAAGCACTGTACTCCACTGTGGCCGACTGCAGTTCATATCCTGGACCTGGCAGCTTGAAACTCAAACCAGACGTATGTTCATGCATTCCCAAAATCCTGTGAGGATAATGGAGGAGAAAGGATTGTGGTGTGGTCATCCCCCTCCTCCCAGAGGGTAATTTCTCATTTTCTATCTTTCTGGCAAATGCACGCACTCTAACAGCAAAAATCTCTCTCTCAAAAAAAACAAAAAAACAAAAAAACAAAAAAAACATAGTTATGGTAGTAGTTCTTATTTTTATCTTCTACCAAAAGAAATATGAATTCTGCAAATGCAGTTCAGATCTGCAGAATTATCATCCACAATCTTTTTGAGTATAATTGATGGTAATTAGTTTGAAGCATAATTTTATTTTTCTGAAATGAAAAATAAATAATCAGCAGAAAACATTATAAAATACTCAATCGCTATATTAGAAAAGCAAACATAATATGGGACTTAGAGCTGTTCTAAGATCAATGAGAGAGTTTGAAACCGCATAAAGATTGACACAGTTTCTGATAAAAACTTTATTGCCACCAATAACTGCACAGGTCATATGATAGTTACTGTTCATTGCTTCCATAAGCCTGATCAAATTCCAGCACCTACAAGTTTTCCAGTTCTTTGACAACTTCCCACATCAGCCGCAGGGACTTTGTGGTTTTGACACTTTGCCTGATTTTACTAAGCACAAAAAAAGCTTTATCTTTTCCTCATTTCTTCTGACAGGCTTAGGATAAGATAAAAGAATCTAAGTAGCATCCTAGACTTCTGGTTAATATATCCCAAAGGGAGGTGAGTTAGTGATAAATCTTCAATAAGATGCATTTCAAGGCTATTTTCTGAAATGGTTCCTTTGAGCCATCTTCCAGGAACTGTCCATATTTTCCCGTCCTTGCAACAGTTTTCCCCTTGTGTTAATTGTCGAAATCACCATATGAAGGCTTATCTGCAAATATTATTTGACTTCGAAAGCAATAGAGATAAAAAGCACAAGTTGGACATATTGTATCTTTTGACAAAGAAAACTTCTTAAAACTTAGCCTTGGCTACTGCAAGAGTAAGGATTCTCTTACCAGGAAGCAGATTGTAACTGAAAACCCCATATCAGTATACTCAATCGACTCAGTTTCATGCCTAAAGTCAGATATGTATTTATACATATGTATATACCAGCTGAACTTGCTATTGAAAGTAGTTAGATTATTTAAGAAATTTCGTGAATCGGACCAGCAGTTGACATAATGGCTATGTTGCTGGACTCCCATGTGGTCAACTGTGGTTCAAGTCCCAGACCCGGTGGCTTCAACTTATGCTGGGCGTGTGCATGAGTGTCCAAGATCGTGAGAGGAGAACGGAAGAGAAGGGATTGTGGCATGGCTATCCCTCCTTGGTGTGTGTGTGGGGGTGATTTCTTGCTTTCTGTCTCTGTCTCTCTCTGTCTTTTTCATGAGCACATATGCCCAATAGCAAAGATCTCTCTCTCTCAAAAAAAAAAAAGAAATTTTGTGAATTAATAAAATGTGGGAGAAAAAGGAATGGAAAACAACCATAGACACCTAAGATAGTTTGGGAGGAGGGTGGGAAAAAGCAGAAGGTGAGAAATAGAGAGAAATTATATATATATATACATATACATATACATATACACATACATACACACATATGTATATGAAACTAGTAATGGAAAATTATTGATGATAACATGAATAATTAAACCACTATGCAGTATATTCTGGATGGGAAATCATACATTGTATGCCATGACAATGCTCAGTGATTGGATATAAGTTAGTTAATTAATTAATTAAAAATAAAAAATAGTAAAAAAAAATATATATAGGGTCGTTGGAAAAGTCATGACATATTTTTCTATGCAAAAATAGTATTTGAACAAGCTTCTTAGTGTCTGGTTAATAAAAACTGTTAATAAGAATAATTTCAAACAAAACAAAATAGAAACTTAAGTTCAGTGAGTTTATTGAGCAGTCATAGGAAAAAAAAGCCTTACAAGTCTTACATTAAACATGCTATACCATTATGGTTTATTATAAATGTTATATTATTTCAATTCAAAATGAAACAGGCTCAGCTATGATGGTATATACTGTTTAGATGTACTCTGCAAGCCGGGACCACATGTGAGGCCAGGGTTCAATTCCTGACCCAACCTAAATGCTGAGACTAGTGGTTAAACCTGTAATCCTAGTGATTTGAGGAAGTTGAGGCAGCAGAATTATATATAATAAAGTAAGACCCTGTCTTAAAACAACAGAAAACAAAACAAAAACCTGAGCTTTTTATAAATTATATGTAAAAAATTTTATACATTTAATCACTGTATATCCCCAAAGATTGTGGAGTAAATTTTCCCAGCATAAATATATTACATACCAGATCAGTTAAAGATATTGTCATATACATAATCAAGAATAGACAATCTTCCATTTCTGTATCCCTTAAATGTCTTGTGTCTCTATTTTTCTCCTTATTTCCCTTTCTTGGGAGAAGCTAAGCTTAACTGATTTTCATCTAGTAATGGGGCAGATTTGGGAGAATAGCAAACCAGATACAGATTAAGAAGGAGAAGAGAGATTATGGAGAAATTAGGACTGTAAGGATCATAAGAGATTATGCCCTTGCCTCTGTTTTTTTTTTGTATCCTAGGTGCTTCTTTGACAGCCATGTTGCAGATAAACAAGAGATTTAGAAGTTCCCACTCTCAAAACTGTTTAAGTTCTAATTGGGAAGGCAGAGTATGATAACTTGATCACTTGTCTGAACTATCAATACACAGTTTTCCTTCTGGAAAAAGAAATGTAATACACTGCAAAGGTATATGTGATTCAATGTAATATAAACAAGATTATGATAATAATAAATAAAATAAAATTTAAAAAAGACAATTTTTCCCTGGGACTGGAAACAGAATATTGACTATCACTTTGTGTTTCCTTGTTTTTATATATTTGCTTACATAGCCATATTATTAGAGAGACCAGAAATAGAAAACTTCAGACATTTTGTTATTTGGATTTGTAAAATTTGTTTGTAATGTGCATATGTGTGTGTCTCCCTCTACATAATAAATATTGCTCTATTTTGCTATTTCTAGTTCATGGTAGTATGAGAGAATACATATGTCTTATCACTGAATAGAAAAGTATGAGTTAAATTACAATTTTTCTTTAAAAATATTTATTGAAAATTTTTTTGCTTCCTCAATTTGTAAATTTATTTATTTTGAAATTAATTAAGTTTTTTACATCATACCAAATGAATTTGCCATCCTGAATACACTGTATATTGGTTAAATCAAAGACATTACCATACATATTATCATCGACAGATAATTTTCCATTTTTGTATTCCTTAAATGTTTTGCTTCTTTCTTTTACCCTTGATTAATTCCAGGAAAGTTGAAAAAAGGCAGCACCCTTATATCTTCTACTTAGATTCAATAATTCTTATAATTTAAAAATACTGGGGGACCAGCAGGTGGTGTGGTGGTTAAAGTGTTGGAATTCCCACATGGCTGACCATGGTTTGAGTCCTGGACTTGACAGCTTGCTTTCTCACTCTCCCTCTCTCTCTGTCTGTCTTTTTCTGGCAAATTCATGTGAAAAAATAATAAATAAATTAAATAATTATTAAAAAAAAACTTCATAAACTCCTAGAGACATTCTAGTAGAAAAAATGACTTCCTAAATAAGATCCCCAAAGCACAGACAATAATCTGAAAACAGACAACTAGGACTACATCAGACTAAAAAGTTTCTGCACAGAAAAAATGAACAATAATAAGAGTGAAAACACAACCCTTAAAGTGAGAGAATATATTTGCAAACTATGCCTCAGAAAAGGGACTGATAACCAGAATATACAGGAAACTCAGGCAGCTTACCCCCCCCAAAAAAAATCCTATTAAAAGATGGTTAAATGAGCTGAACAGTCAACTCTTCAAGGAAGGCATACAATGACCAAAAAGCCTACAAAAAGTTCAACATCTCTTATTGTAACATAAATGCAAATCAAAAGCACAACAATTCACAAGGAACTCAAACAGCTGTTCCGGAAGAAGACAATCAATCCTATTAAAAGATGGGAGAATGAGTTGAAAAAAACACTCTCTAAAGATGACATACGAATAACTAAAAGGCATATAAAAAAATGCTCAACATCCCTCATTGTAAGAGAAATGCAGATCAAAATAACAATGAGATATCACCTAACTCCAGTCAGAATGTTTAAGATTAAAAAAACAAAAAATGATAAGTGCTGGCAGGGGTGTGGTGAAAAGGGAACTCTCTTTTTTTTTTTT